TACTGCGTGTGTTTGCCCATTCAGTTCAAGGATAGAGATGATGTCCAGGACGGTGATTGGATAGGATAATTATTAGGATATCCTGTGTTTGGGTTACATTATTGTATCTAGCTGGCTTGCTGCTCGATCGCTCGTAGCAGCCGCTCGTTGCTGCTGCTCGCTGATATGTACATGCTCGCTGGCTCGCTGCACTGGCTGGCTCGCTGGCTCGCTGGCTCGCTGGCTGACGCGCTAATATCGATCGCGCGAACACACGAACACACAAACACACGCACACGAGAGCGAAAACATAACCTCCTCCAACTCCGTTGGGCGGAGGTAAATATGACCTTTCTGTTCGTAGCGCATGTTTGCTCTATACCCGATGGGCGATGGCGATGTGGCGATAACAACAAGTGCACTAATTAATAAGGACGATTTACTAATTTACTACTAATAATTAAGGCCGATCGCCTTACATAACATAAGTTATAACACTAATTACAGTAACAATCTGATATTAGCGGTAGGCTAGATTAGACATTTATAAAGTTCTAATAAATGTGTGGCCTTAGTAGCAGAGTAGTAACCTACTCAGTTGAGCTACGTATTTGTATCTAGGTAATTCCCTTCGTTACAGAAGCGTTGGTTATGGATACTCGCACATGCAGAATTTGTAAATAAATTTGCATAATCAGTGTAAATCAGTAAGCTATAACCACCAAACACAGAAGATGAAATATAAACTCGCTCTTAAGTAACTAATTTGAAACTCAATCAATGTGATACATATGCAACCAATGTATAGTGCACCTTTAGAGGAAATGCAGTGCATGTGTATAGAACATGCATGTTCCTGCGATCGGGGCTCGCTCCTGCATCCGGCGTCCTGTTATAATACCTTCTATGGTTTATATAATCCATCTATGTTCTCTGAGTGCAGTCTGACCTGAGATGTCTCAGGGTTTTATGTAGGCTAGATTTGGGCCCAAATATGGGGCCTATTCACAATCCAAATAAAGGTTAAAATTCACAATTTGAAAGCAGATATTTACTTCATTTTTGCAAGTGAGCAGTATGTTTTTTACAATATATTTTTACAGCACCACTCCATATCAAAGCTGATCGAGCTCTATTTTATTCAGTAATTTCACCAAAAACCACAGTTATTATAAACCTGAGATGTAGGCTATTTTCATGCTTGGTCCTGGGAAATCCTGGAAATTTGGCTAAAGTCCATTGAGTCATAATTTTACCAATGATCCCTGCTTGCCATCTGGGCACAATAAAACTTAATTAAGGAAAGACTTTGTTCACTATAATCATTGATTGTAATGTGCGAGGTACTAAGTAAGATTGCATTTGGATTATATCTAAGCATTCGAGATTCAATTCGCAACTCTCCTCGCTATTTTCTTCCTTACTCCCCATTCCTTATATTGACACCTACTCCCTTTCTGTTTATCCCTATTATTCTCTACCATATTTTATCTGTGGCTACGTCTCACCACTTTCTTTCAACTCGTTGTCTGTTCCCTCACCTACTCCATTCATCATCAGCTGAATGATTAAATTCTTGTTCAAGTTTTAGTTGGTGTTTTTTATGCACCATTTGTTGAAATACAATATACAAAATTGAATGATACTCTCAGGATAAATCGTACATTTAGCATTTTTGCAGTTAAAATTAAATAAGTAATGAGTAAAACACTAGCATTATGAAAATATGCGACATTGTTCTTACGTCACGATAGCTAACTTCGATGATCGCACATTTGTATTCTTAATCGATTATGTAATCGATAGCTGGAAACGTTCGACTTTCGATTATAATTGATCATCAGAACAACACTATGCCTACTATTGATATAATAAAATGTAACATAGCAACATCTGCCCGTGGATTTTTTCACTACATAGCGAGGGTATAGCAGAACATTTGAAAAAGTTCCACATTCTCATTTTCATTCATAAGTTTGCAGTTATGGCTCTTGGAACTTTTAGAGGCCCTTTGAGAATTGTAGCCCCGTAGGGAGAACTGGAAACAGCTGTGTTTCCATTCAGTAACAGAGTTGTCACAGCAGCGAGAGCTGTCTCTTAGTCTTACTTAGAGTCAGAGTCAAGTCAAAGCTATCGTTCTAACTTCTTTCTCTTTTTACACTGGCTTAATTTATTTATACAATGGCAAAATTAATTAAGAATTAAATTGTTAATGTATAAATCTAAATTTGATTCTAAATTTAATTGATCTAGTCAAATATGGATTTAGATAAAGATTCACAACTAATTATAATTCTTATTTCTAATTAACTACATATTCTAATAAAATATAAATGACACGACTTCATTTTATCTTTTTTCCACATTGGTGTGTTATAAAAGTCATGAATATAAGTATATGAGATGTATGTATGTGTTCATGGTTCTACCATGAATCTATTTATACTACTAAACATAGAACCATGGCTATAGAACAAGTGTTGGCATACAAATAAGAGCACACATTATACAGGAATGCATTATAATGTGGCTGAGCCTAAAATGTTTCCTTTGTTTTTTTCACCTTGTAGATTTGTGGTGTGGGAAGGAATTTCTTCAATGGAAACTTGGGAAGATTTGCCATACCATCATTTCTTGCATTTACTACGATTGTATATGCACAGCAACCAGGTAAGTCTGCCCAGCAGTTTTAACACTCGAAATATATACAACATCAATATGAGTTGCTTAAAGGGACTACGTCACGAATTTTCTATGGTAAAACTTGTAAAAAAAAAAATTGTCTTTTTTTTTACATTAAAAGTAAGAACTAACGGGACTAAACAAATCGTCAAATTCTTACCTGATAAGATTGTTTCTCAACTAGTTGAAAATCCAAAAAACCTGGACGATTTGAATTAAAATGTTCTCAACATTAATTGTTTGCTATGGGCTATGTATGGGTCACAAGTGTATGTTCACATCGAACAATATAGTAAAATAGGAAGTATAATGCAGCAATTTAACCATAAAATGTGAACAGAATTACTTATATTTTGTGAAAAAGTGGAAATATATTTTTTATTTTTTACTATTTACGGTGACGTAATCACTTTAAAGCTACGTTTATATCTGTTGTCCTCCTTTATTGCACACAAAACCTAACTGAAAGTACCTGAACATATATTTCATGAGCTAAAGTAAGGTAAACAGCATCATTCTCTTCTATTTTCGTTCTAGATATTTTCAATTGTTTCACCAAATAGCAGGAATTGTGTGGTATTGTTATATGGCCATACCAACATTGCATAATTCACAGTATGACGTGGAAACGGGAAAGTCCTACAGTTCACACTTACTGAGGAATAATTGCGTAATTGATGACATGCATTGTGCTGCTCACAGCAGCTGCTGCATTGTGCTAGTGAGCCTAGAACAGAGTGTGTGTGGGCAAAACTGTCTTGCGCCTTCTTAAGTAGTTTGAAACTATTCATTCGGCTTGCTCTTTATATATACATGTAGTCATTGACAGAAGAGCAGCATACATGATGTATGGGACACTAATGATCTCACTTCCTGACTCTCCTTACCTATTAGTGTATGTATAGTGGGTCAGAAAGTACCAATGCTATCTTCACACATACGTACGGCACTGGGTGTGGGGCACACAATCTATGCCTGCAGCATTTTGTGTGATTTGTTTCGGTCATCAAGCATCAGGTTTTGAAAGCACTAGTCGGAGGCAAAGTGGCAGATATTGTGACACGGCTTACCTTTCTGATATCATTAGGGATTTATGCACACTGGGTGTTGTGAAGAATTAGCGAGTGTTGCTGTCTTATTGAGTGCAGTGCATCAGTGCAGTGGTGTGGTTCAGCTATGATGCATTTGTCAATAACTAAGAAAGCTGAGGTGCATTGGTCAGCATCACTTAAAGAAGAATGCAAGACTGTCCTCCTTCAACCAGATGACACAAGAAACATAAGTAACAAAGCTATTTGAGAATAATGCTAGGTCTTTACATATATATTTATTTTGTAGCTATGCATGTTTAAAGTTTATTTGATTTGAGGTGATATAGTTGTTATCAGGTAAATAACTGAAAGATCAGCTCGTTTATATTTGTATTCAATGCAGTTACTCTATCTTAGTTGATTGTTTTCAAGTTTTCAAGTTTATTTTTGAGTTGAGTTTCCCCATCTCAAGAACATGTGATTCGGAATGTACATAATATAGCAGAGTGTAAAATATTATAACTGTTTCCTTTTTGGTTTTCTTGTTACAGATAAGAAAGTTGATGATGAGATTGTTGAAATGGCTGACAACCTTTATGACCATCACGAAGTTGACAAGCTCTATGAATTCCTCTCGCAATACAAGGTATATAGTTATTCATCGCTTATCACATGAAGATACCTTGTCATTGAGAAAAAGCTTTTTACAAGACTAGAGCCTTGCTTTAAAAGGAGGTTATGTACCATAGTCACAGTCACACAGCTAGGTGTGTTGTGCTCTATGCATGATATTCATTCAATATCCTTGTAATAAATAATTCAGGAATAGTATTACTTTTAATATTTTCATTTAATATTAAAACTATTAATCATAATAAGGCTGGTTGGAGATGAGGTGGTGGAGAAGATTTTGCAAGTACTCAGAATTGATGACTGGTTAATATTTTGAGGTCCATATTAGGATCTTAGCAATAATGGAAGTATGTGTTTTGAGTTTTTGCTTAGAATTTGATCATTTATATTTCGTGAATACATAAAATCGTATTTGTGAGGCCTATTTGTTGTCGTGAGAACAGCAATTGGTTCTCATATGAAAATGAAACGTTCAACTATTTGGTTGCGTCAACAGTAACTAATTTATTCCTGTGGACTCAACCTATGCTAAGTGGTAAGTGTTGCATTGTTACTATATTGCTAATTTCTGCTACCTTATTCTTCATGATGAGTTCCTTCCGATCATAGGGTACATTCCGTGGGGGCAGAAACAGGGACAATGATGATGATTTGAGTTCCACATGCAGGATTCAAAGAATGATGAGATTCAGTGGCGACTTGCGAGGGCTGCATCTGATAAGTCAAAGAAGGAGACAGATGAAACAAAGAAGAAGGAGCTCACGTATGAAGGCCTCCATCATGCTGAGATTGCTGTGAAACTGAATGAAAACAACTTTGCTGCTCACAAGGTACTGACATAATTGTGCCTATATAGACGATGCAATGTCACATGAGTGATAGAAATTTCGCTATCGTACTCACTCTGTTTGTGTTAGGTTCAAATTGATATTACTTGGGTGAGATTTTACCCCAATGGGTGAGATATTACTGTCATTTCTTATAATGACAAACAGTGATAGAATCTTTTTCTCACATTTCGTTCACTTATAATTATTGCGTTAAATTACAAACTATGTTCACTGAGAATGCTCACGTGTCACAATAGTCCATGGGATCATTGCACCCATGCTGTCAGCGAGCTATGTGATTAGTTGATTGGTTACTGTTGAAAACTCAATCACAGACTACCAAATTTTTATTGCTTGAAGTTGTATCACATTGAGATATCTTATCCAACTGTGGGTTCTTACATACTGTATTTCATATTGATGGCTCAATAAGTGTGCCTGAACTCACTCTGTTTTCTTTTACTGTGAATGATAGTTTTAATTGTCCTTTTTTGAAGCTATATGCCATTATAATGAAATAGCATCTTGGCATATCATGCAGGTTTAGTATCTGTTAGGAATTCTTTATATAGTGTCATGGTACGTGGTAGCTCTATATTAAAATAAACGTGATGTTTGGTGCTATAATTTCAACCATTAATTCTAACATTTTTGACTAATCTTTGTTTGCATTATTGTTAATTCTTATTCTAAAATTGTTGACTAATCAATATCAGAACAGTTTTTTTTATGTGCATAAATAATTTGAATTTATTTGCTTTCATAGCATGTTTCCAGAACATTTTTATTTCCTTTAATTTATTGCGGATACGTTTTCTACCGCTTCAGTGGTATGCTGCACAACTAGCGTATGTTGGTTTCTATGGCAATTTCAAGATTCAGATACAAAATTCGTACATTGTACGAGATCATTTTGGTGTAAGTTCAGATCTACATATGAATACCACTGTGCACTAGCTGGTTGATTTTTTGTGCATGTTTAGTAGTAGTGATTTGGAATGCATGTTTTTAAGAGCCCATCAACAGCAGTTGATAGGCCCTTGATGCTTTGTTGTATGTTTATGCATTATCCAGTGTTTCAGGAAAATAATCACTGGATAAACTTGTGACACATGTTGCTAGTCCTAGTCCATGATTTTTCCTGAAATTCTGGATTTCACGTCTAGCGGCCTGTGTAAATGAGCACTCGCACTATATATAGTTACATGTTTATTTGCATGTGTGCAATAGTTCACAATAGTTCTTTTATCTGACAGTGGTATTCCATACTGTTGGACTACATGGGTCGATATGAGGGAGTCAAATTCCGAATAGCTAACTCTTTTGGTGTTAAGGAACACCTTCTGGTGAGTCAGTTAATGTACAGACAATGTGATGTTCAGTATAGCTTAATATATTTTTGTACAATAACATTTTGCTTCATAATTGGGTCAATAATGCAGATAGAGCTTAATTGTAATAATTCGACACGTTTAATGAAATGAAAATATTGTTAATTCATCAATTTATGGCACATTTCATAGTGGTTTGGTTCACGCCAACACTGATGGCTTCAGTAGTTTGGTTCATATATTAGTTCTGCCCTAATTTAAAAAAGTAACAAGCAGGGGTAGAAATAAGGAGAAAAAAAAAGATGGTCCATCTAGTTTGAAATTTAGACGGTCCTCCTAAATTTTAGATGGTTCTTCTAAATTTCAAATTGTTCTCTAAAAGTAATGTGGCATGCAAGCGTAAGAAAGAGATTTTACATGGTGATGAAATGGCAATTATTCACCTACAATGAATGTATGAAATGATACAGTAATTGTTTATTCACTTTAATAGTATATTGGTTAATAAAGTTGTTTCAGTAGAATTTAGTTGAACCCATAACGGTCCGGTCCGTCAGACCATTGACTTTGAAAATCTGATGGTCCTCCTGATTATTTGATGGCCCTGGACCATCGCTTATTTCGACCCCTGAACAAGGCCAGCTAGGCTGCATTAGTTTGTATCAACAATTTGTATGAGCATGAGTAGCAATGTCTTCTGCATTTCAACAGGCGATAGAATATATTTTCTGTTTCTTTGAACAGGAGGGATATAAATAGATGTTTTAGCTATACAGGCGAGCATGAAGTTTGGTTAAGGATAGATAATCATTGTCAGCCATCTTTCTATGCATGTCATCTGTGTTTTATGTTATTATCTCTAGCATAAAATAAAACTATTAATTTTAATTTCATAAGGAAATATAAATTTTAATTGCATAGCTATCGACCAAGGTTGTATATAACCATGTTAATTAAGCTGACAAATTTTGTAAATTTTGAACTTATTGTTTTATTTATGTGGCAATATACTTATAACTGATGGTTGTTCAATATTTAGTTGGCTTAAGTTCACATTCTTATTTCAGAAAGCAATTGCGCTGAATCCACAAGATGCAACATCGATTCATTCTCTGGGATATTGGTACGTTTCCATCATCCTAACTCACGTTTCAATGCGTGAATCAAATGGCAATGAAGAAAACAGTGCCACGAGAACCATTATTTGTAGGCGTAGAATAGCGTACAAGAGGCTGAAATGTATTCTTAAAGAGTGTACCCAACTAATTCGCTGCTTCCGTGTCCTCATGGCTAGTTTTCTTTCGGATATGTAACTGTGGCATAGATAATTGGTTGTCATGCAAACACAAGGTTTACGTCATTGAAAATTTAACGATTTTTGCTTTACCAACAAATACTCTGACACATGGCTATTTCCACTCACTCTGGTTATCCTTCTATCTTCTGATCATTAAGGAATCTGTGAATTATATTGTTCTGAGCATGTGGTAATTGTTGTGAACATATGAGGGTGGGACGTTGACACCTGGTGGGTGGAAATGAGTTTTGTCGCAGCAGACTTGTTTGTATTGAATATCATCACGAATGAAGGAAACATTGAATATCATCAGGAATCTAATGAATCTCTCTCCCTCCCTCCCCTCTCTATCTATCTCTATATCAAAACAGGTTCATGATATAGGTATTTGAATAATGTTTATTATGGATTTCAGATGTTTTATAAATCAGTTATTTTTTTATAAATTATTATTATTGAATTAAACTTATCGGTAACTATTAGTGAATATGCTGTGCTTATAGTAATAGATAACAGCTGATCATAATACACCCTAGTTGAATATATTCTAATTATTAATGGTTTAATTTCAACGCATTATCCCAGAACTTAAATATTTTGTAGTACGATATATCCAATTTAGGATGTAACAAAACGTTTTTATTATAACGTTAATATGCATCTTAGTGGGTTTGTTTTTAGGTGTTTTGTGTTCGCTGACATGCCTTGGTATCAAAGAAAGATTGCCTCAATGTTGTTTGCTACACCTCCTACATCAACGTATGAAGAGGCGCTTAAATACTTCCTAGATGCAGAAAACGGTAAACAAAGAAGAACACCGGCATTCCTTTAATAGTAGCTGTGCAAGTATGACCTTTCAAGACAAAGCTGGATTTTTTTTGTAAAACTATGTATGGTGTTCATATTCAGCATATTAACGACAACTCAACCAAGGTAAAGAGTTTGACAAGTTTAAACTGGAAGAAGCAAATAAAAATCATTATATGAGGAACATATTTATATATATACATAAATTTAGATGACTAAGCAAAATAGTCATAGTAAGCGATGGTCATTTTAGGTTGTGAGTGAAGACTTTTCATGAATTCATATGGTTCTATTTTCAGTTGACCCCAACTTTTACAGCATGAACCTGACAATGTTGGGAAAAACATACATGCGCATTGGTAACAAGAAGATGGCACTGCTGTATCTGTCCAAGGCACATGAGTATCCTGTCAAAACTGAAGATGACAAAGATGTGAGAATTATTTGCTTATTATTTATTACAAATCCTCATTACATTTTGATGGTAATTGTGTGATTACAAGAGAAGTGTGAAAAACCATGCAATTGTGGAATTTCCTGGCGAAACAGTTTACTAACACCTGGTACATGTAGCCTACAAGTATGGTTACTTGTAGTATTTAATAGCCTAATATTCTGAAGTCGCGAGTCCAAACATCTGATTATATATTGCCATGTTTCTTACTACCCAATCTTTCTAGACATATTACTAAACATTTATTGATAATATTAGTTCAATTTACCCAGTTTAGTACAAAGGGATATAGTCATATACCTATGGTATACAAAGAAATGATCATTGGAAACTCCTCTTTACAGATTACCTTTCTTATGAGAAGACACATTTTAAGGGACATTTTGGTTAGGAACAATTACTGTTATGGGATGGAAGATACCGTAATTTTCAAATGACAAAGATAGCCAGTGTATCATGGAAAGTCTCTACCTAATTTCCTTTCCACAACTTTTTTCATTTATAATTTTTTTATTCTGTAAACGTGAAATTTACTTGTTACAGGCTCACAAAGAAGCCGGAGAGCTGTTAGCAAGCCTGGGAGTAAAGAGTTGACCTGTATTGTGATGTGAAATCTCTTATTTTGAAATTACGTAAGATGACAGGTCATGAAATTTTAATATAATTATTGATCAACAAGGTATATTTATAAGAACTTTATAAAAACTCTTTTTATAGGATATATGTCACTACACTTTATCAAAGCGTCTAGCATTTAGGGAAGAGAATTGATGCACAGCACTAAAGTGAGACAGATTATTATAGTGGGTGTAATTGTAAATGCCGCGAACAAGTCATAGCAGTTAAGATTCAAAATGAGTTCTCTAGCAAAGTTCTAATTGTAGGTTGAAATCCCACAAGAAACTGTCATTTTTGTTCATATTTAATCATTCCTTGATTTCAATTCCAAAATAAATTTGTTATACAGAATAACACGTTTATTTTATTTTCATTCAGGTATATATATAGTATAGTCTAGTGTTAACATCAGGGGCGTAGCTTATTAAGGCAAACAACTTTCATCTCGGACTATGTACTGTGTGGCAGCTAGAGTCACCTACTCTGTAATCACTGTAACATTTTCTATGAAAACAAAAACAAAATCTGGTTGCCCTTTAACTTCCTTGAATTCCATTTAATAGATTAGTAAATTGTAAATAGTTATGTAACGTTCACATGCAAGATCAGATGTAGACATAAAACAAGAACCCATAACGGCATCACCAACTATGACAATGGATCACATTTCGATTAGAAACTAATACTTGTCGGTCTAGTAGCTGTGTCTTCTGGCCAATCATATTAGCTTAGTGCCTACATTTTGGATTTCTTAGAGAAAAAGCTCATGATGGCATTAATACAGTCCTCTGACTGCCATCGCTCAACCAGCCTGTCACACTCTTGAGCATTGATCTTGTGTAGTATCTCCCTTTCCTGGTCCCGGTACAACTTCTTGGCGTACACCATCGACTGTAAGATAAACACGCAATTTTATAAAACATACGAAACACCACGTTGAAGTATACTCACCATTCTGAAGTCGGTTCCAAACTGTGACGACATACATGTTCTTTTCTATTTTTAATCAATTTTCATGTATATGTTTCATGTATAGAATGGTTTGTTTCTTATTGGATGTATTTCACATTTATCCTTGGGTTAGATTTCAGATGCAACTGCTGCCAAGCACACAATGATTGGGTAAACACCATGACTCGCGAGTATCAAAAAATCTTAGCAAGCAAAAACCCATTTACATTGCCAAAAACCACTATTAAACTTTATTTGCCAATGTTCAGCTATGTAAGGTACCACTCACGATTACCGACATCACAGGTGTACAAACTATGCTGCTTGTGCATGTTAAGGAAAAGGTCATGAAAGTGTACAGTTTGTATGGTTATGATAACATTAATATAATCTATGGTCTCTTACAATAGTCTTCAGCATGCAAAGACATTAAGACATACCTTCTGTATTCGACACAACTGACTGCACACCAAACTTACCTTTACAGGGTACTTTGCATGTCGCTGTAGTCGGGCAGTCACTTCCTTATGGAAGGAACTATCAGGGAACACCTCTGTAACCAGGTCCCTTTGGCATGCCTCATGAGCACTAATTTTCTGGTTGAACAACAACATTTCCGCAGCCTACAAACAAAAGATGTTTCGTTATGTATACTTTGTACATAAGATTTTACAAAAACCCTAATAAAATAAAATAAAGATAAAAATAAAATAGGAATATATATCGTGATAATTGCTTGTTGCAGGTGTGACAAACATTGTCGAGTGCAATCAAACAATTACATATACTTGCTTTTTTTATTATAATTTTTTATAAATAATTGGTTCATATTCTTTAATGCTCAATGTTGTATTCATATATACAGTAACGCCCCCTGTTATGATAACTTTGGTAAGGATAAACCATTTTTTGAAGGAATGCATCCCCAATCATATAATGAAATTCAATGCAAAAACATACAGTGAGGAAGTCAATAAGCTTTTGTATAGGAATAATCGAATGACCAGTAAAATAGTAATAATTAACTGTATCGTTGACATATAAAATAATCAAGTAATATGTCTTCAGTTAAGTATAGGTATTTATCAAGAAAATTATAGGATTGCCTATGCAATTATATAGGATGGAATAGCAATGCTGTTAAGCACAGATTATAATTCCAAAAATCTATTTCATGCATATACATGTCATATATATGTCATATAAAATGACATACATGTCATATATAAAATGCATATACATGTCATATAAAAGCATCAGTCATACCTTTCCAGTTCCCATTAGTTTAGGAAAGGTGTAAGAGGAGCAACCTTCAGGGGTCTGTCCAAGCTGGCTGAACGGTGTGTGAAACGTTGCCTATAAACAGTAATAACACAGAGTCACACATGCATAACCAATTACAACTGAATATTATTTATAAACCCAAACTACATCCAGTAATTGCAATCATTATAGTCGTGTTATGCTATTTACATGAAGTTGAGGAACTGCTACTGCTGCTGCTGCTGCTGCTGCTGCTAGTGCTGCTGCTGCTGCTGCTGCTGCTGCTACTGCTACTGCTACTGCTACTGCTACTGCTACTGCTCTACTGCTACTGCTACTGCTACTGCTACTGCTACTACTACTACTACATCTACTACTACTTCTACTACTTCTACTACTTCTACTACTGCTGCTGCTGCTACTGCTGCTGCTACTGCTGCCACTACTACTACTACAACTACCACTATCACCACTACTACTACTAAAAATAATAATCGTAATAATAACAACGTTTTACTCCTTAGCAATAGCAATTAACAACAACAACGACAACAATACCAACTGCAGTACTACCTGCATAGTCACAAGTCAAAATGAAGTGTAGCACTTATCTCCTTCTCACCTTATCCGTAGCATAGACAGCATCATATAGTCCTAGTGTAGTCACCATCACTCCAACTGCTGGTCCATTCACGAGTGATATAAGGGGCTTAGGGAAATCAATAAAGGCACCCACGAACCGTCTGCAAGTAAAAATCTCAACAGTCATTCAGTAATTTCATGGTATTTAGCCATGGCATATAAAGACAATGTGAAAAGGAGCTACTCATCAAAATAAATTATGCCACACCTCACTGTCATTGCTGATATCACAAGCATGCTAAGGGATGGCAAATTTATAAACTATTTCGCATTATTGACACGTTCTAGGTAAAAAAAATTTAATAAACATGATCCCAAGCATTTTTGCATACCTTTCACGTGTATTGGAAAGTACAAATGCACAACTTAAAAATAATGAACTTTGACTAGAGGTTTTTGATGGCTCAAGTTAAGTGGGTATCATCTTCAATGCTAGAAATAAGCAAGTTTCTTCTGGAAAAGTTTTGTCTGCTCACATATTTATTTCAATGCTCTAAGCCTGTAATTGATAATTACATGAGTATATCACGAGCATCATCAGCCATCTTAGCAATCTGATCAGGTTGAATATTTGCAAAGTTGCTCAGGTCATTGCCACTGGAGTAGTAGTCTCCCGTACCTGAATAATAACACTATGAATTATTACGAACTGCATAATAAACTATTGTGCATTATCAATATTCCAATTTATTAATTTGATCGTGCCAAAATCGATAAGTTTTACAGTATCAGTTCAGTTCTATAACACCGCCAGAATTTACATGTGCAACAAAAGTGACCAAAAGGAAGTTTCAAAGTAACTATTAGCATTGTTATTTGTGCTATTTATGATACTACTTTTATTATACTTACTTATTCTTCATTTCTATCATAATGGGGCTCCATAATAACGTGTCACAGATTACATTCAGTTATGCAGAGCTGTTCAGGCTGTACACAAATTCAGCCATATGTATCCATATATTGTGTAAACCTTATGATTGAAGTGAATAATAGAGCAGTAAATGTTTTCCCGGATAACCCAAACAAATTTTAGAAACTAATTGACCGATATCCAGGTGTCGAATACAGCTTACCGGTCACAGCAGCCAAAACAACTGTTTTGTCATTGCTAGCTTGGTCAAGTGCTTTAATGAGCTCCTCATATGTCTAAAGGAGAAGAAGATGATACACAGATGATACTCATACTAGCGCTCATAGGGTCTATGTCCCCCAGGGTACTGCCGGAACGTACCCTGGGTACGGTCCGGTATACCGAAACGTACCCTGGTAACTATCTAGCTGATATGGTTAGGGTTAGGGTTAGGGTTAGGGAGTAGGCGTAGGCGACTCCCTAGACTCGTTAGTGGAGTAGGCGAGGTACGGTCCAGCATATTAGATAGTAGTATTTAGTACCAGGGTACGTTTCGGGTATACCGGACCGTACCCAGGGTACGTTCCGGCAGTACCCTGGGGGACATAGACCCTATCAGCCATACTATAGTCACACATCTATAATTACCTCCGCCCAACGGAGTTGGAGAAGGTTATGTTTTCGCTCTCGTGTGTTCGTGTGTTAGTGTGTTAAGTGTGTTCGCGCGATCGATATTAGCGCGTCAGCCAGCGAGCCAGCGAGCGTGTACATGTGAGCGAGCAGCAGCGAGCGGCTGCTACAAGCGAGCGAGCAGCAAGCCAGCAAGCCAGCATGTACATGTCAGTACGCTGGCGTATATCGTGGGTTATTCGTGTGTTCGCGAGTCGTATGGCGTATGTCTCTGGCGGAGGTATGCACTCTCCGTGAGTGCACTCTGTCTAGTTATAACCTGTGTTCCTTCCTTCACACAGCCAACACTTATATTTACACTATCACATTGCCAGTTGCAAAATTGAATTTGAAGCACATGAACACTATACCCACCTGCATGGTGAGGGCATTCTTTTTGTCTGGTCGGTTGATTCTGATGGTAAACACTCCTCCCTCGTTGCTCACTACAAGGGTGTGATAGCCACCTGGTGGTGCTGCTGCTTGAGGTGATACAGGTTGAGCAGATGCCTCATTAGCCAGCAGTCCATTAACCACATCAATGTATTGCTTTTTGGCATCATCCTAAACGTTAAGCACATAGTTAGCTTTTCAAGCTGATAGATCACTTGTTATCAAAGAATTTAGGAGTGTGATGCATTTAACAGGATTAGGTAAATTTAAAAATGGATTAAATTTTTTTTTTATTGTTTAATCTCACTCCTTAGCATATTACCAGTAAATGCTATTTCCATATAGATGCAATATTACTACTAGTGTGTGTTAACTCACTTGCGAAAGATCTCCCAATGAGCTCCATGCAGTCCACTTTGCTTTGCCTACAAAATCCATCATGCCAGGCTTTGGTGCATTACAACTCCCTATCATGCTCTGCACATAGAAAACAAGAAACGTAAGCATGGCTACCAATAAATCAAATGAGATAAGTACAGAATATAGCTGGTCAGTTCACTATTTAAAAATATCAGTACATAGAACAAGTCTGTTACACTTGCTACATGATTTAGCATTGGGGCTTAGTGTAGAGTCGAATATGTGGTTCGTAGACAGTAGACGTAACAGCTGAGTAAGCGGTGGCAAGTACGGTTTTATTATAGACGCAGATGAACAGCACAGTCGAAACAGTGTGCGCATACTCGTTAGAGGATGCCGGCGTCTCTCTCATTCTCATCGGAACCCCTACTTTTTAAAACGTCCGCCTCGTCGTCGCGACCTTATAACCTTCAACTAATTTATGGCACGGGTCGTGGATCTAACGACCGGTCGCGACTAATGTAAGAAGGAACGCCGACCACCGTCGACGTGCACGGTTAATGATGGCCGTTTAATAAACCGCGTCGCATTCTTGTTGAAGTTAATAGAGTACCGAAGTGTGACGTCACGTTGTCAAGACAACGTACGGGCTGGTTCTACACAACTCACTGGCTCCATAACATTAACTGCGTGAAAATGTTGTGCGTACGTAAAACACGAGTGTGTGCGCTGCAGACAGCGGTAAAGCATCGGTAGCAAGTCGATCTTACAATATTTAATGAATTAAAAAAAAAAAATTTTCGTTGCTTTTCACTTCCATCCTTTGGAAATCTATAAAAACTGCAATAATGACTCTCAGAATGATGGTTACAATCGGGTACAAAACACGACACGCAGTTAATGTTACCAGAGCATATGATTGTGTAGAACCAGTAGGTTCGTTGTCATGCCACCGTGACGTCATCACTTCGTTACTCTATGCGTTCGTACCATTCTGAAATGCGTTCTGTCCACGCTGAATTATGTCTGCTATTAATATATGTAGCTAATGTCATCTGGGTCCCTTGCCGGCCGTCCCTGGACATTTGCCTGACTAATGTGCCAAATTCCCATGTCTCTATCTCAAAGCTAAAACACCGTACTACATTAGCATGAATTCTGCATAAACTGTCTGTCATATTAAACGTGGCAAAGGCAATAACATAGAGTTCATGCTGTCTACACGTGGACACATTCCTGCTGTTGCTTACAATACATACCTGTTTAAACAGTGCATACATCTGCAGTTTCACATCATTTCCTGGGTCTTCTGCCAAGCTGCCAACTTGCTGCTTGGCCTTATTGAAGTCGTCAAGTAGAGAATACAGGATTCTGTTTGTGTAGAAGCTGCGTGAATGTGCAGATGCCGCACTGGAAACACACAATTATTGCTATTACAATGGTAATCACAACAGTTTATACACTTTTATTTTATGATTGTAATTATTACTGCATTGTAACTGGTGCAGAGCATGTCACATGCCATATCTAATATCGGTTACTGAAAATCCATTTTTGGGTTGCTGCCACAGTGTATGAAGGTTTGAACTAGTGGATGAGAACAGTACATCACATCTGGTAGAACTAGCATTCAATTATATTTATTTACTACTCAGAATGTAACGAAAAACCTTTTCCTGTTGGTAGGTCTCACTGGCATTTGTTTATCTGGCGGAAAAATTTAATTGTCTGAATATGGAACAATTTTTACAAAATACTTTCATACATCTTAGTAGATCTTTCTGGATTGTGCTTATATACAGGACAAACGATTAAGGAGGAAGGATATTAAATGTTTAAGGTAACATTTGGGTTAATGTTTATTGAGTTAGGCTTAAAAAATCTTAGGCAGAACAAGGCTAGCAAGCAGAGCTGTCCTTGTTCTCCTGGCAGTGTGTTACATCGCTCACAGTTGGGCCTAGCAATCGTATTATTTACTCCTGATTTTACGTATAACAAAAATGTATAACTGGCCTGGATTTTCAAGTAACATGAGCGTTTTCTAGATGGAGAAAATCCGATGTCCTGCAGTCTCAGACAACATTGATTTTGGAGGTCCGCAAAACTTGTTTCCCGAGGAACCAGGCAAATAACTGTTTGTTAATCAGTACAAAATAATGATAAGGTAGGGTAGGGTAGTGTACGTATGCTTTCTTGTGCATATCTCAATGGACCAGAAAGTTACCTTAAAAAATTAACTAGCCTCAGCACTAATCGTTTTTCCAATATGCAATCACAATCCAAAGAGATATAGACCAGAATCTACTATATTAGGATGACCTATGGCCCTGCCATTAATCAACAAACTGATCGGGACATCTCTTCTATCATGTGGCAATAATTATTGAGGTACGGCAGAAAAAATCTGATTGGTTTTTACTTCACGGTGCATGACATGATCTGTGTGAAGTGCAATTACAATTAAACAAATAACTGATATAACAAGGCTCGACACTAACTTTTTTTTTCAGTGGCCCGATCGGGCCACCAAAATCATTGATTTTCAATTTTTGGTGGCCCGAAAATGAAATCTGGTGGCCCGAAAAAAAA